GGCAAAAACCCAAGACCTTTAGCTGGGCAAAACAAAACAAAGAACTCAAAACAAACAAAAAACTCCAAAAATAAAAAAAGAAAAACCCACCAAGCTGCAGAACATAAGACAGATCAAGGGGAAACGTCCCCTTGACGGCTCCTCAGGGAGGAACCGCAGCCCCTCAGGGAGGAACCGCAGCCCCTCGGTCCCCTCGCGCTCATGGGGCTCAGCCCGAGCACTGGCTGCTTGCGGACACAAAGCGGGATTAGAGTCCTGCACAGGTCAAGTGCTTTTTAATGAGACTTATAAACCACAAAGCCTCGGCGACACAGAAGTCTCTTCCTTCTCTATTGTAAAGGAACTTCTAAAGACGGCAATTTAACTGCTATTAAATTTCGTGCCTCAGAGACAAGCTCTCATGGCCTGTCCTTCTGGAAAGTCCTCTAATATTATTGCAAAAGCCATTAACATGATGTTCAATCAGTTAAACATGAAGCAAAATGAATAATCGACAGCAGACATTTGGAGCCTGAAAGTCCTCCCTGCGCTCCAGCTAAGCCCTGCAGCATCTGCAGCCTTCTGGAAGCCACGTGGGCATGGTGGCTACCAGGGGCAGGTGACAATTCCAGCGGGATTCCCTCCGATACAGAGCACACCTTGGCTTTCCATGGGGGAAAAAGGTGGCTGCTTCGTGCTCGGTTAGCTGAGTTACCTRTCTGCAGTAGCTCCACCAACATCTTCCATGCGGGAAGAAGACTCAAGAAGAACACATCACCACCTCATGCCATAACATCTTACTCATTGTCTTGTTTAACTGATTCCCCTTTGGTCTTGTAACCACAGCATGTAAGAAAAAGCCAAAGGGATTAAGAAAAAAMTATAATTCTAGCTTTTGTATCAAGTGTTGCAAATCGCAGCCTTGCAAGCTCTCCAGCAGCAGACAATGCACTGTGTAAAACGGAGCAGCACCATCGCCAAGAGGAGAGAAGGGGTTTGCAGATGRTATTTGAAAACGTCAAGGGGGTTCAGGGAGGAAACAACAGGAGAAGAAACAGGAGATCAGTGGCAGAGTAGTTTAAAAGTTTGTTTATATAAGAAAATATAATAGCTCTCTGGGGGCACCTTACTGTGGGATAAAAGTGATTTTATTCCAGCATTATGAGTTCACTTTGGAAGTGCATTAGCTACCCTGGTACAAACAATACRGATTTCTGCTAGAACGCCCCTCGCAGAGCGCTCGTCCTGAAGGCCCCGCTCTGCTGCCTGTGCTCCGCGTCCGCATCCCAGCGGGAACAGCAGGGAGCAGGTCGCAAATGGAAGTTTCAGGAGGTCACCTGCAACACGCGCAGAAAGCCCTCCTGCTTTTAAATAGGAGGGCTTTTTTTTTTTTTTGCATTTTTGTTCAAATCTAACACAACATTAATGATCAGGAGGGAAGAAGCAGGGGGAAAGGCAAGACCTTCATATTTCACCTGAGAAGGGGCATCGTTCTGCTCATGACAGAACCTAGGCAAGCCGGGCTGGTGGGATACAAAAAGGGACACTGAAATACAAGGAATTCCCACTAAATCTTTTCAAGGATCTCTAGCTTCCTTAAATAGATTCCGCTATACCAAACTGGGACTGCTTTTTACTGTTTTGCTGAATTGAGAAATAGCTTGCAAAAATGAAGAGAAAAAAAAAAATCAAGGCTAAAATCAACAATAAAGATCAGGCCCTTTACCTGGGCTATGGGTCAGGCTTTAAATGTCCTTTTGTGTGCTGGCACTGTGGGGCTTTGAGAGCCTCCTCCAAAGGGAACATTCAAAACGGGAGGGGGGTGAGGAAGAAAAAAGCAGTTTAGGTGCAGACACTTGCAGCTTGCAAAGCACGGGGAGCACCGTTATAGCTATTATATTATTACTATATCCATGCCCTGTGAGGCTGGAGCACGTGCAGGTTTCATCTGGGATGGTCCTGTGCGGTTCCCCGGGAGCAGGGCGCGCAGAGCCGCACAGGCTCCCCCGGGAGCTCGCCAACACGCTGCTCTCCAAAGCCTCGTCCCTCGCAGCACGATCCCGCTCACGGCCCCAACCCCCTGCTCCCACACTCATTATCCCGCTTCCTCCGCAGCCAGTCCGGCATTTTTCTCTTTCTGGGTTTTAAATTCTGTTCTGTTTTTCCCAAATTAAGGAATTTTACTGCCCTCGGCGAGCTTTAGCTCCCCTTGTGCAGCAGGGCTCGGTGTCCCCGGCACAGAGCGGCCGCGGGAGGTGCCAGTCGGTGGCATCGGGGCGGCCGGCCCCGTCCTGCCTTTCAAAGGAGATGCTTTTCCTCTTCTGAAGGCTCCTCTCGCTCTGAGCCCAAGCCAGCTGGACAGCAGTTAAAAGACTCCCTCCTCCAGCATCGCCTCGTGTTTGGGTACTCCAGCCCAAAACAAATAGAAACATTTAAAATTAAAATAGAAGAAAAAGCCTATAAAGGAATAAATTGTTCCTCGCTGGCCTAGGAGAGAGAACTCTTTCTCCTCAGCACCCTGTACCTTCCTTGAGCGGCTTTCCCAGCCAAGGAGTGCTCGGGATTTGCTGGACGGGATGAGCCACTGGGTCGCGCTGGCTCCAGAGGGGCCTTCCTGCTGGGCTCAGCACCCCCAGCCTCTGCAGCAACATTAATTAATTAATTAGCACGGAGACATCCCTATGGGCGGGCGACCTCCTTGGGGCACCTGCAAATAATCCCCATGGGCAAATCCAGGCAGAAAGGGAATTTTAAAGTCAGCCCTGACACCCACCCGCTCATGATCTCAGGAGGCTTCAGGTACCCTCAGCCCGTGTCTAGTGTCACCAAGATTCTTCAGAGGACAGTGAGAACTYAGTTAATCCCCCCTTTTCTCCCTCCCGGCGTTTATTTGCACCGTAAGCACCTAGCCCCAGCACCCACTTCGCCACGGAATTGGAAGTCACACTATATGCACAATAATAATATGGTTTTGACCACCCAGTGACCCATTTCAGAGGCTCTAATGAAAAATGCAACCACAGCTGAATGAATCGCAGTGCTGGATTGCTTTGATTCTCTTCTCCCACCCCTTTACATGAAGAATCTAATTTCCTGTTTAATATATTTGATGCCACAACTAAGAGATGAAATTGGGGCAACGCCTCTTATACTCCCACCTTTTTTCTCTCACCCTTTTTTTACCCCTCAGAAGAACCTGCCCCACTCTCTGGCCAGGCTRCTACTACACGCTGCGAGTTACCTGCTTGTGACACCGCAACCTTGAAACTCAAAACCTAAGTAGCAAAGGGGTGGAAATGGCCTCGCCTCAGAAATCAAGGGGCAATTCCATTCAAATTCCAATTTCCAATGCAAACTGGGCTCTGCTGGCATTCAACTCATTGCCTTGGCCAACTCATCATCCACAGCAGCAGAGGAACCTGCAGCTCGGCTGGGAGCTGCTAAGCTCAGTACACACATTCAGGAAGAGCGTTTGGACAAGGTCTGCTGGATGCTGGGGCAGTGCACGAGCTGGAGAAGGTCCCTCTTTCTGCCCCGCTTTCCTTTGCCTCTCCCTTAGAGCCTTGGGAGCTGGCAAAGCAGCCGCTTGGAGGAAGGGTTACACGGGCCCAACCGGATTCCTTTGGCGGAGCCCTSGAGCGCGAGCAGGAATGCTGCTCCCCGACACCTGTGGAGAAGAGGCCGCGCTGCTGCTCGCAGTGTTTACCAGGGAAAGCAGCTGGGAGCAGAGCAGCAGCACAACAGAAGACACAACCGCAGAGCCAGACGGAAAGAACGCGCCCCGGTCCCCCCTCGCATCAAAACTACCCCAACGCAGTAACACTGCTACAGCTACAGCACCACCCAGCACACCCAGAACTGCAGAGCGTCCTTTGGATACTAAAGCAGATCTGCTGCAGTAATTCCACAGCCTAATTCCACAGGAACRGGTTAGATTAAACCAGAAGCCTGTACGAGTCCACCTTCCAGCTACAAAATCTTGCAGCTTTCATCACATACGTGTTTATTCCACAGAAGCAACCAGAAAGAGGCCAAGCAATGCACCCAGATCTCGCAGCTACAGTGACCTGAACTTCTCTGCAAATGAGAGCAGGAAGACACTTGAATTCTTGCCTGGTAACATAAGAGGCATAGAAAAAAAAAAAAGACAAGCAATTTTATAAAACTCAAGAATGGGCAACAGAGAGCTATCGACYGAGTTATTTTTCAAATGCTGTTTCTTTCAGACTTTAATTTCCCACTGAGTTAAGAGCTCGGAGAACAGAGCTTTTCAGAGATCTGAAGCTGTTCTCCTTCACCCACTTACATACCCCGTGGAGTGGGATGGGAATGAACGGGACGGGAGCTTGCAGGGCTGCTCGCAAACACGCGGATCCTTAAAATTAAAATCCTGGACCCTACCTGCAGGGAGGGTGTCCCAGCAYGTCCTGCAGAGCCAGGACACCATAAGGACACAGCAGCACTGCTTGTCACCCCTGGCTGCCAAACTTTGGGGTATTAAAGGCCCCACCTAAGGCCGTTCTGCTGCTTGGGGAGCTGACAAGGCTTTTTCAGCCTGTGTTCGCATCGCCGCCTTTCCCTGTTCTTAGGGAACTGCACAGACAGTCACCATTTTCCCTTTCCCGTTTCCCACAGATTTCATGTGCTCGTCACCAGTGCCCTGTCTGTCTCCTGGGCAGAACTGGGAGTCCATAAGGTGGCTCAAAGGTGGCCACTAAGGCCACCCTCCCACGAGAGCCTCGAGCGGAGACACCACAGCAGGGGCACGTGTAGCTCAACAGGCCATGCAGCCGATGCCACTTTCATGGAGAACAAGGCAGATCAGGACAGGCATCTCCGAAAGACAGCAGGACGTGCCCAGAACCTGCAAGTGAAACACTCCCCTGCCAAACATGCTCCATTCCAACAGGCCTACAGCAGTGCTGACCCCAGTGCCAGCCTGAAGGAGCTGGAAATCCAACGCACACAATGAAGAGCAAGATATTACAGAGGAAACCAAAGCAGAGAGCTCAGTAACCTACCAGATCTGTCCAACATTGACGAGGGAGAGGTAGAGAATCCACAGGAGGCCCATGAGGATCATGTTTGCACACCCAGCTACCAAGACGAAGGCCGAAATCAACAGGCCACASACGGAGATGCCGTCCAAGAGGCCGTCCATGTCTGACCAGTCCAGGAACCAGATGATGGTGGGTGCAAAGCTCAGCGCGTCCAGCCCGACCTTCCCCTTGAAGTATCTTTTGACACTCTGCAGGTACAGCTTGCATGGCAGCAGCCCCTTTTCTCCTATCAGCTGCTTGTTTTGATCGTAAGCCACGAGGAAGGCCACAACTAGAAAAAAAACAAAGGGGGGAAAAAAAATATTAGAAATCATATAGGCAAAATTCCATCTTTTGAGTCCAGTATTACACAAATATACTCATATCTCAAGAAGGAATTTATTCACAATGTCGACATGAAAATAGAAGACAGTCATTTCTATCAACTATGACATGGAAGGCACGGGAATGCTATAAATACTGTCTGCCTTCATGCCAGGAAGCAGCACAGAGGCTGTTTTGAGATATAATTTTCCCCTTGGGCGCTGTAAGGGACACGTCACTTGCTGCAGGCACAGGCACCAGCCAATTTCTGGGAGCAGCTCCCTGCAGCGGAGCAGCTCGAGACAGCGAGGGCGCGCGCCGGGCGCGCGGGCTCCCCGCGTGACCCTGCCTTAGTCACACASTAGTCGTGCCCAAACCCAGATGCGGGGAATGGCCTCATCACCCTGCACAGCCAGAGCAAAACTGCTCCTCGGGACCTCGGATTTGCACCCCAAAAGGAAGCATTTAGAGAGGAGAAATCTACAGGGAAAGCTCAGTTTTGGTGCAGAGGCTGGGGAGAATGACCGATGCAGCCAGAAAAGCACCAACAACTCTGCACTCCTCTCTGCCACGCAASCCCCGYTGGGCACAAATGCACAAGTCTCAGTGTCTGCTGCACCACAACCCGCCAGCTGCACCTGCAACATCATCGCTTAGAGCACAACGCGGCCCACTCGCACACGACGCCGGCGCTGCAGACAGCGAGCGGCAGGTTTCTTCCTCACAGTGAACATATTAATAGGCCAAAATATAGTTATTGAACCTGCAGAAACTCCAATGCAGCCGGTGAGAGGAGGCCCAGGAAGCTCCCGGCCTTSCGGCAGCGCAAGAGTTAACGGCTGCTCTTTCCAGCTGGGCAAGACCCGAGTGCTGCTCTGGACTGACCTTCTGGATCCTCTCACATCCTGGTAGGTTGGAAACACAAAAGACTTAATATTTTCCCGTCCCCTAAATTGCATATTTTTCACATGTCACTGCAGCTCTCACAGCAGCTACGCTCTTGCGCTGGACAGTCTTAGAACAGCCAGATGCTTTTTTTAACAGCACATAAGCAATTTAATTACAGATTATAGACCTAGAATTTGATGTTCTACAGAGAAAGTTGGTCAGTTTGTAGGGATTATCTCATATTTTAGGAATCTCCTTCAGTTACCAATTTGCAATTTGTAACTGCAGGAATCTCCATTTCTCAGAAAAAAATGATGAAGGGCAACATGTCCTGATTAGGCTCCATACATTTTGCTCCCAGCAACGAACTTAGACATTTCAAGCGTTATCCCAACACCAGCCACGTCACACGCAGYGGGATCAGAAGCCCTGCAAGAAGCCAACTTGTCTCCTTCCACTCRTGCTCAGTCAATGATCAGATCCACTTCTTTCCTTCTTTTTTTCCCCCCAATTCCCACTTCTTTGGGGCTCAGACTGAAGAGCAAACGTTGGCAAAGGYAGGAGAACAAATAAACAAACAAATATCCCGTTCTCCGTGAACAGAGGACTCCGCGGATTTCAGTTAATCCGCTTAGCGCTTGGGCACACGGCAGGTATTGAGCTCTGGGTGTAAATCCAGCCCTAAATGGCACAATCTGAGACACATCCGATGTCACTGCAAGGATCCCCAGGGCTAACGTGGCCACCGGGGGGGTTCATCGGTTGGTTCCTCTTCCTTTCGCCSTCAACACGCAGCCAAGGAGCCCACGCAAACTCCAAGTCGAGAATTTATTCAGTTCCAGACAGGCAGAAACAAGAGCAAAGCCGGTCACAACACTGCAGCGCCAGCGCTGGACAGCAAATTAAATATTTTATAACTTAAAGAACACCATTTTTCTCCCAATATTCTGTTCAGTGCAACTGTGTGATCAAGAAAACATACACAAAACCAGCAGAAAAAAATATTCTTGAGCTTCAGAAAACTTAATATCTTCATTTTGGTCAAAAAAATGAATAATAATTAAAAAAATCTTTCTTAAAACTACGTGGCCTGATTTTCCTTGATTAGCACTGCAATTTGCTGCACAGTTTTCCAAAGGCGCTAATCAAATTCACCTCAAAACGCTACAGAAATTGCTCCCTCAACCCATGACCGCTCAGCATTTTTTGGCTAAAAATATAAATTAGACCCCTGCACAGTATGCAAGATAAACACGGAAAGGGTAAATTAGGAAAAACAAACTATAGCAATTGGAGAAAAGTACACAGTGTATGCACAAAATACCGAGCAGCCTTTTTCAGCTTCGAAGCAGCAAGGACTGCATCGCAGGTTGGCATGAGCTGCACATCCCCGGATCCCGCAGCCTGGGATCCAGAGCGGCCTTCTCCCAAAATGCACGTTTTCTTCAGATGCCCAATTCCTGCTGCTTTGCGTGCAATGTTGTTGCAGCAAAAGGCATCAGCAACAACCCTAGTGGATGGGGAAACCGCTGGATTCCCAAGCGGAGCCTTCACCTTCCACCCTTCCGCTCCGGGGCGGCGCTTCCCAGCGGAGCGGGGCCGGTCCCGATCCGGCTCCCTCTCCTGGACACTGCCCAGGCTGCCGGCCCCGCAAACCCCGCTCCATCTCGGAGCCCTCCTCTRCCGCGGTGCCTCCCTCAGCACCTCCCCTCTGCCCATGGACACACAGGCAACGGTGGAAGCTACACGAGAGGATTCCAGCAGCATGCGTGGATTTTGGGGGCGGAAAGTTTGTGTGACACATCTGTCCCTTATCTGCCTCCCATCTCCTCTAGAGACAATATCCTTAAACTGTCCAAGACGCTGACCCAGCTCCCTCCTCCAAGAACTTTCCCCCTTTGCTCTCGGCTTAGTCAGAAAGAAAAGTCCCTTTTGCCCCAAAGCCTGAGATGTTGTTCCTCTTCCYTAACCCCTATTTGGAAACCTCTCTCCGCCTTTGGCCTCACATTTGGGGATTTTCCACTCTCCGTCTCCCACTCCCTCCAGGTAAACAGGCGAGACTGCTCCCACGTGGGAGCAGTCTCGCTCGCGCGGGGCAACGTCCACAGCTGCTCCCGTTTCTCCTCCAGCTTCTTCCCTGCAATTCTGCTGGGTGAACCAGGTGATGCCGCGGCTCCGCAGACGCTCCGGTCCAGCCTGGTCTAACAGCGAGTGGTCCCCGGCACAGAGGCCGCTCCAGCCACAGCCCAAGGGTCTCCTCATCTCTAGGGGCAGGAGGAGAAAGGTCTAATCCCAACAGAGGAGGAAATATGTCAGGTCTGAGCTGGCATCATCCTCACACTGAGGATGGTGCGGATGAGGGTAGAGCCTCCTTGCTGAGCACGCTCCCTGCTCCAGGAGGGCTTCCTCTCTCCTCAGCAAAGCATCTCCTGCACTTCCCAGCCTCGGGAATGAGTTCATCCGCACCGATAGCCAGTTGGAGATTTGTTTTCCCTTCAAGGGCTGCACAAGCAGAAGGAAACAGCTCCGCAGCAGGCAGGTGCCTCCAAGGGTAGTGTTGAGCTCCGCAGGGTCTCACGTTGCAGAGCTCCATGGCACGTGTCCCTGCGGCATGGGACACACAACATGGGACACGCAGGGACAGAGCCACCACCCCAGCTCCCACCCTGCTCTACAACAGKGCCTGGCCCTCGCTCTGTGCCTGTTTCTGGTACCTTCTCGCACCACAAAGGCGCAGCAGGACGGAGAAGGAAGGGAGCTCTTCAAGAGCTTGGATGATGCTTTTCCGATGAGGATGTAGAGCAGAGCTCTCTGCAGCTTCCTGAGCCACCTCATGTGAGGGCAGGGCTGAGCCCATTGCCATGGGTTCCCTGTCCAGGGGCATCATTTGTGGGCTCCAGCACAGCCAGGCATCTCTCAAAGCCTCCATCAATGGCATTAAAAAAAAGCCATTTTCCCCTCATTGCATGGAYTTTTTTTTTCTTTTTTAAACCCAAGACTTCCTGGCTGTGGGTAGCTCAGCCCATCCCTTCCCTTCTGCTTCCACTCGAAGCACTTTGCCGTTCTTCAGAGGATTCGCTCCGTGGCAGATGGAAAGATTCAGCGGCGGCGGCTGACTCCCACTCGAGAGGCAGGCAGGAACCTGACAGCTCCCAGGGGACCCGCTCCCCACCCGCTGCGCTCAGCTTGACACGAGCTGCACACGGAGATTGTCAGCAGCTGCTAATAGAGCTTCCCCGCTCGCTCTCACCTCCGAAGGTGCTTTTTGGTACTTTTCCATTAAGTCCCCCCTCCGCCTTCCCCTCCCAGCTCCTTTCTCCCCGCAGCCGGATCGCGCTCCATGTTCCAACCCACACGCTCCCGCTAAGCCCGAGAGGAGCAAGAACCGCTGCTCTCCAGGGATTTGGTCTGTCCTAGAGCCCCATCGCCTTCCCCCAGCCCGGGCTCTGCCTGGCATGGTGAGAGAATGACAGAATCCCACTCTTTATGCTCCATAAAAATGGGAAATCCAAAACTTCCCAGGCGTGGAGCTTTCCCTGCTGACGACCACCATGAAATAAGGGTCTTAACTTCTACTGAAAGCCCAAGCCACAAGAAATGAAGCAAGAGCACAGAGCTCTGCATGAAAACCAAGCTACATGCTGCACACAGCAGCCCGAGCCTGCCCAGSGCCATACAGCGCGTGCTCCTTCGACCCAACGAGGCAGGCAAGAAAGGTCCKATGTTGGATGCAGACAAGCTAAGGAAGGGCCAAGCCCAGAGGGTTATCCCTAAAGGAGGAGGAAGGAGAGAATGTTCAATAATTAGCAGCAGCAAAATTAATGAAAAATGATTTTGATGGATAAATTCCCTGCAAACTCCTGCAGCACAAAAGCAACAGCACCTTATCGAGGAGCAAAGAGCCAGAGGGAAGTCAAGCATCCCCTTTCCATCCTGAAAGTCTTACAGACATCAACAAAGTACAGCCTGGTCTTGACTTCTGCTGTTGTGGCTTTTTTATTGTCCCCAACAGCCAAGCCAGAGTCCTTTGCGTGGATGTGCTGGGAGGTTTCTACGTGCTTCTCTCCGCTGTCTCTGYCTTGAAATAGCAGAAAAGAAAATAAAAAAGCCCAGGCTGCAGCACTGCAATGAGGTCCAGCCCRGGCCCCAGGCAGCCCAGGGAGGGCTCTGAGAAGCTCTCAGCACCKGCAGGCAGGTTCTTCCCATGTGGCTTTTTTCCTGTGACGCTGTCAGCTCCGAGTTTTCCCTGCTGCAGAGGAAGGGCCCTGTGCTCCCCTGGAAGCTCTCTGTGCTCCCGTGAAAGGGCTCTGTGCTCCATCRGCGCGGGCCGGACATGGCACTAACGCCACACGCGGGCTCCGCACTTGCTCACGGGCACCGCACCAGAATGGAAACCTCTCGGAGACAAAAGAAAACACGGGATTCACTGCGACCTGCTCACGGCCTGAAGGCTGCTGCGAGCCTCTGGGGTAAGCAAAGGGGCAAAGCAGGGGAGATGGCAAAGGGAAGAGGAGGAAGGACACCAGGGGAGAGCCGGGAACCTGCAGGAAGCCCAACTCCCATGAGGAGGGTTTAAATTTCYGAATTCGGAAGCAGCAGCCTGAACCTCCCGTAGCCCTGGCTCTGGGGAAAGAAAATCCTGCTATTAAACAATACAAAAGGAGAAGGAAGATAAACTGGATTTACATAATAGTGTTTATTTCAAAGCACTCCACGAAGCATGGCTGAAACGGGGAGCAGTGGGATCTATTTACTGCCCTCAGACTCCAGATGTAGAAGTTCAGCTAATCATCCAGAGAGGGCCCTTCCCAGAAATGACTTAGAAGAAGGGCAGAGGGATCAAACTTGTGGTTAAGAACCTTGGGACTAGCAACAACCTATTTACCTGCAACAGCCCCTCCAAAAAGACCCCGTGCTTCAGTATTTACAAAAAGGGCCATAAAGGACAAAGAAACACCTCAAGMCCAGCACAAAGGGCCCCCAGAACTCAAAAGCGCATTTTCCCAGTTCTCCCTTTCCCACAAATTACTATGTTAGAGATCGCAATCAGGCACTGAGCTGCAGGTGCTACCAGGGGCAGCCTCCAGCCTCTACCTGGCATCTCCGTGCTGCAGGAAAAGGCCTCTATGGAAGCGGAGCGGACCTCTATGGAGGTCTGCTCGGCAGGGCGCAGGGCAGACCTGCGTAACCGTYGCCTGCCCCACAGCCCGGGTGTTTGCTGGTTCACTTCGCTCTCTCCTGCTCTGGAAGCACTTCCCACTTGCTTTGCCCACTTTTACTTGAAGTGAGAAGATCTCAGTGGAGGAAGAAGCCCTAGATCCGCTAATGAAGACACTATCTTCAACATCACCTAACTTGCAACTGCACCACACTAGTTACTATTAAAAATAGTGAACACACATGTCTTCGTTTACCTGAGCACAGCCAGAACCCATTCCTGGGTGTTTTCCACTCGCCTTCCCCTTCCTGGGAGCAGCAGGTGCTCCTGACCCCTGGGCTCCACAGCTCCTCAGCCCCTTCACACCTTCCCACCACCTCCAAGCTGCTCCTCAGASAACAGTCCCTCTGCCAGGGACTTCCCAGACCCTCCCGGCTTCTGGAAAGCCCCTTCAAAAACATGGGAGAGCCGCTATTATCAAACACGGGTGGGGGAGAGGAGAGGGAACAGAAGAGGACACCTCACACCTGCCCTGCTCCACACACCCTCCTTCCAGGGAGGAGGATCTGGCAGGAAAGCATCTCCTGGACAAGCATCCAGCAACAAAAGAGGACTGGAGCAGCAGGGAGGAGGAGGTGRGAGGTCCCCAAATCACACTTTGCAATCGTGTACCTAACTCAACACCTTTTACCCAGCCTGTACCCTCTCTGCTAATCCAGAGGGGTCCATTCCTCCCCATCCACTGAGGAGGAGGAAGGAGCTTCATCGCAGGCAGCTGCACCCATTGGAGATCCCACTCCTCCGCATTTTAGCAGTGGTCTCCCCAGAGGATTTGTTCGTTAACCAGCAGGACCGAAAGGATTATGTTTTAAAGGCAGAAATGAAAGAGCAGGGAAACATCCCACGCCTGAGGAATGCCAAACTGTCACAGCGGCATCAGCCGTTTCCTCSGCAAGCCTGAGGCTCGGCGCGCACAGAAGAGCCGYGGTTGGGRAAAAAAAAAAAAGATCTGTCAAAGTAAACGGTTCCATCCTTGGAAAAGGGGCCTGAGGAGCTGTGTGGCACAGAGATTTTAAAATGTTTTCTGCTGATTCTGAATGCAGGCTCACAAASGACAGCAAAAGGCAACCTACCTTCCCTGGGGAGCATCCCACCCTCACGGTCACATCAGGGCTCTGCAGCCCCCGGGACTCTTTGGGCAGAATCTGCCCCCTTCCAGCCTCCCCGTCTCCATCATCAGCTGTGCAGCATCTCCTCCACACCGGGATGGGAGCCCCAAGCTGAGGGCTGCCCAGAACCACAGGCGACTGGAATTTGACCCGTCTCAAATCTAGGCCAGGTTTCTGGCTTTAGGGTCGTTTGGCTCTTGCACAACCAGTACCAACAGCTGAAACCACTGATTGCAACCAAGCAGCAGCTGCGTAACAAGCAGGTGACCTTCCCTCCTCTGGTATTCCTTTCATGATGGAGATTGGAGCCACCTTCCCACCCTGCTCCTTCCAGCCTCTAATACCTCAGAGAGCCCTTGTAGTCCTGAATTGAGTCTGCTACTTATCCAACTTGCTCCTCAACCTCACAGCCCCCTTGCCAAGTTCAGTCCCTCCAGCCACCACCTGGTCCCTCCCCATCTAACACATCACCACCCTACGGACCCCAGGACTTGCCATCTTCCCCCTTTCTCTCCTCTTGGACCGTGGACTCCAAAGTGCCCTCCTGGCCTCGCACCATGAAGCACCTGAGCCCGTTTCCATCAGCCTCTCCACCACTCACTGCGCTTATCTCCAGGTGGATTGAGTTTTGCATCCCCACACACTGCYCCTCAAACCGTCCAACGCAGAGGATCCTCTTCAGAGCCCGGAGGAAACCACAAGCATCCAGCTTCAGGCACACCACATATTCATAACCCGCCGTCAACCAGCAGCCTCCCAGAACTCGCTAATCAATTTTTCATGAGGAAACGGCAAACTGAGCTGGGGGGAACTCAGCAGTCTGGATTTACACACGGGGGAATATCAGCATTGCATTCCCTTTGACTGAAGGAGTCATAACCCCGCATTTCTCTGAGCGCTGAAGCCAAACTAGAAACAGAGCGTGTGTCAAAACCGTGCGGAGCTACAACCTCGACGCGGTTTTGATGCAAAGCAACCCGCGCGGGCTGGCAGCCTACAAATCCTCACGGTTCCGCGGACAAATCTGGGGCAGCCTCGGAATTTGTAGCGCGGCGTGTCGCATGTCACTTCGAGTCTCGCCGCGAATATTTTCCGCGAGGGCTGCCRGGGCAGAGCCGCGGCTGGAAACCGCCCGCGCCGGCCCGCGTTTCGCACCAAGGAGAACCTCGGCGAGGCCGTTCGACGTCCCGCATGGCGCGCGTGGGGTTCTTTGGGGCACAAAATTGATCTTTATCTCACAAAATTGACCTCGGARAAGAAGGCGCAGCAGAGGGGGTGGCTTCTCCCTGCCGCCCGAGCGGTTCCAGCCCCGCTTCGGGCACCGGCTCCGGGCTCCGCGGGGCCCCGAGCTGGCCCGGCGGCTCCCTCCCCGCCGCGAGGAGAAGGGGGGGGGCCATGGCGGCGGCCACTCACGGTAAAGCAGGGCTATGGCGCGCAGCAGCACGACGCGGGTGAGCCAGCAGGGAGCATGCGTGCGGGCCGGCCCGCCCCCGCCGCCATGGCCCGGCCCGGCCCGGCCCGGGGGCGGCACCGGGGCCGCTCAGCGCCCGCCGGAGCCCTCGCGGGAGGGAGGTGGCTTTGCCCCAGCAGGGTTAAAAATTAACGTTTCTGAGGCAAAACYGGCTGCCGCTGTAACTCTGGGGCGAAAAAAGAGCCTTTGGGGGGCATAGATGATTGGTTTGTTTGTGACGGGAGAGAAGAAAAAAAGAAAAAATGAACCAAACAAACTTTTTTGTGCGTTTATGTGTGGTAAAGTCACATGTAGRTTATGTCTGTGACAAAAAGGAGGCAGTTTGAGGCCAAATTATAGGTGTATCTGTGTGAAAAAAAGGATCATTTGGGCCAGAGCCCTTTCATGGTGTATCTGAAAGGGTGAAGCACTCAGTACTGAAGCCAACTGTAGATCTATCAGTGAGAAAAGCGACATTTTATTGCATGAGATCTGATATGAAAACCAAAGCCGAAAAGGAAGGAGCCCCTGTCCCGAAAACTGAGTCRGTTCAAGGAATCATTTTAGGTTGAGCTCCTCAAGCTTTGGAGGTTTGCTTTGGAAGATCTTCATGGATTTCTGCTTGGCGTTTAATTGCAAAACACTCAACTCCCCATTGAATTCCTCTCTCTCTATATATATATTTAAGCAAATAATAATAATAAAGCCGCCAGAGACTCAGCATTCATAATTGACAGGTCCAGAGCTGCTTTCTGCCTCCCATTTAAGTGAATGCCGTGGCATTAAATCGTTGGACGTCTCTGAGAAAGTATCTGTTATCAGGTGTAACATTATTCAACGCTTTTCAGCCTGTAAACCAGTTCCCTCTAAATGCCCCTTTTGTTTTTCTGGTTTCCCATCACTGCTGCTGGCATTGTTCTCCTTAGAAAGAAAGAGGGGAAAAAAGTGCATAATGGTGCATTGTATAGGGAAAGAAAAATAAGCTATTTGTTAAAGACCTCTGCTGTATTAGATTTTCTCTTTTGCTCTCCCTTTGGATTAGCCACAAGGTTCGGCTAGATAAATTTAAATGGATGTAAAATAATGATTTCCTTTGCGAGGGCTTTATGAAGCTTTTACAGCGAATTCCACATTAAATGTAAACATCCGTAAAACAAACTGGATAACCAGGAAAATTACTGAGGAAAGGCAGAGGATTTAGTCAAAAGATTCTGGAAAAAGGAAAAGAAAGAAAAGGAATAATTGGGCCTGGGAATGGGCTGTTGAGCTCGGTTGGTTTTTATTGCAAAAGCCGCCTCCGAAACCTGCAGCTCGGCAGGTTGGGACRGTAGCAGGAGCGAACACCGAACTAAACCAGGGGAACTCAGGGGACAGCTTGTGTCAATAGCACCTTTCAACAATATGAGCTGCAAAGTTTTAAGTATATTAAATTGTATAAAACGTGGTTACTCTAAAGGCCTGATCCAACTCTCATAAAAGGCAATAAAGAAACTTTCCCTTGGCTTTACTGGGAGATGGATCAAGCTATAAGGGAAAACGTTTAATGAAATGATAGATTAGAGCGTTCAATTCCCTTCTTTCTGTACTCTCAGTGCGCGCTTGTGTGCGGTTTCATGCGAACGTCATCTGTGTTTGGTTTTCTGCTCATTTACTTACTGTCAGCTTTGAAATATCACGTTCCGATTGTYGCTCACGTTCGTTCTTTTCTAATTAAGGCAGGGTGAAGGCAGACGACGCAAAAAGCAAGCGGGTAACAAAGCGAGATATTTAAGAGCGAGGCTCCGCGTCTGCAATCTCAAAGGGAAAGTGATTCATAAACACRGGGCTTGCGGGGCCAGCGCTAAGACATCATTGATGCCGATCTTCATTCAGCAAAACACAAGTCGCCGCGTCCCCCCGCCCGCCGGGCCCGACCCTATTTTGCTGTGTTCCAACCAGCTGCAAAAGTGACAGCGAAACAAGCATTTACTGTCACAGCACCCAGCAGCTGTCCCCACTAGCACCTCAACCCTGCTGTCCCTGGCACCCTAAATTACTCTGTGTTCATTCAGGTCTGGTCTTTTGCCCCTCTTGCTGCCAGGAATTGGGTTTAAAGAAAACAGAGGCGGCGAATGTGTGCAGAAATGACTATTTTGTATTTTGTATCCAGAGCTTTTGGAGGCTCCTCTGAAGAAAACATACATTCAGTTATATATAATACAGTCATACACCATCCCAGTGAACGCTCAGCTGCGTTTGCTAAAGGAGAGATGGGGTCTCACAAGGAGTATGGGAAAGCCCTTCTGCTAATTAACAGTTTTCCAGCCATAATATTTTTTTCCCGCGAAAACCTCTGCTCCTTCTCATGGAATTCTGCTCTTTAGCACAAGGGTTGGCAGGATTAAGGCTGAGAAAAAGGACTTTGAGAGGAAGCACGGCCTTTTTCTCTCCTCTATAACAGGAGTTTGGGGTTCCTAACACTTGTATGGGACACACCATTCATAATCACAGTGATCGTAATTAATCGACCTGCAGTTCTCGGTCATTCTGGAAAGATGCGTCTGGCCTGTGTCGTGCAGGAGGGCAGAGCAGATATTTATTTGCCAGTGTCTCATCTGGCCCTAAAATCGGGTGTTGCATCTGCATGTGTGCTATAGGTTTCTCATAAGGAAATTTTCCTGCGTCACCGGTAACATCTTAAAATATTTCATCAGAAATAACACATGAAAATATCTTTCCTTTCCATYCTTTCCGGTCTTTACCTGTACAATGTTTTCCCAACACCGAGGGACGAGGCTGTCCCTGCCTTATTTTAATCCTCTTCACCCGGTTCTTCATGTGCCAGTGCACAACTTGAGACTGCCAAAGCTGCAAAACGACTACATGGCTTTTTCAGCTGGGATATAAAATAATTAATAACTGTAAGAACGTTAGTTAGCAAGGACTTTTTTTATTACGTTTTTTGCAGAAATTTCTTTCCAGGCYAAAAATAACACACACATATTTTCACGAACCTCTCACTGCCGTTGACACGCACGGAAATCAAGATTTCCTAAAAACGTGCCTTTTTTTTTCACTAATATCTCCTGCAAAGACCGAACCTGGAAGAGAGCTCGAGAAGCAGCTAAGTTCCATAAGCAGAGGCAGAAAATTGCCCGAGCTGCTCTTGTGCTGGAGCCCTCCCAGGCGTGGGATCGCACGCAGGGCTACGGTCGCTCGGGGGAGCGCAGCTCTCGGCTCTTCTGCTGCTATTTTAATTGAAATTAATTGAAAATTACCACGGTTCTTTTTTTTTTTCCCCCGCTGGAAACCGGTAGCTTTCCCGAGAAGGGCTGCACATTGTTTCACAGAAATCTGCGCGCTGCCGCTGAGCTGCCGTATCCTCTGGGCAAAGCATTAATCCTGCAGATGTCAGAGGCTTATTTTAACACGACGCATAGGTTATGCTTATCTGATCGGGGCTTGTTTTTTTTTCCTCCCTGTAAGGCTCTTTCTATTTGCTCTTTGAAATTCCCATGTAAAATCAGCTCACAGTTCAAAGGCAGCCAATTTCTGAAAAATGATAACTTGACCACTCGATCAGATTAGGCGCTCGGCAATACAGCCCACCTTAGGGCTGTGCATCCGCGCGGCCGGGCAGGGAACACAATATGTGTGCAAGGTTCCTGCATGCTCTCGCKCTCCAAAAACGACCTCCCTGTGTTGGAAACGATCCCTGCACAGTGTTAGTTGGGCTCCGTCCTGCCCCAGACCGATGCACACACGCGTATTCCTGCAGAGCGGGAGGAGGATTGGCAAAAGGGAAGCAGGACGGGAGGTCAGGACACCTCCGTCTCGTGGTAATTCAGAGGGCAAAAGGCATCTCAGTGCTTCCTTCTCAAATTTCTGCCTTTTTTTTTCTATGGAAAYGCTGATGTCCAGAGAGGGAGATTCACAACAGGACTCCCTGCRTCCGTCTCCCTTGGGACTCGTGGAGATTTGCCTGGGAGAAATGCTGCTGGCTGTGCTGCAGCTGAGAGGGGAGCAGGAAAAAGAGCCCAGTTCCTTAAAGAACTAAGGCAGGGCGAGCGCAGACCGGGACCTGGCCCTCCCAGATGCAGTGACACTGATGAAACGCTGCCTGGAAGAAAGACTTATATCATCTTCTGTCCTCAGGGGCTCGAGATGTAAATTATGACCTCGGGGACAAGCAGCAGGGAAATCTGAGCCGCGGGTCGTCCTCTCACTTCCTCGCAGCGCGCTCCGCTCGGGGGGGCTCTGCTTCCTTTGGCTGTCTTTCTTCTTTGGCCTCGGGAGGCAGGAATGGTGAGGGAGAAGGGCCTTCCAGCTGCCGCAGCCCAAGGGATATGGACCAGGACACAGCGTGAGGCAGAGCCCACAGACAGACAGATAAATAAGCTCCCACTTTCTTCTGCAGAACAGAAACCATCGCTTACCCATCCTCGACCCCTCAGCCCTCCTGAGTCCCTCTTCCCTCCTGATGCCTGTCTTATCCCTGGCCACTGAGTAGCTTCATCCTGCCTCCCTTTGTAGCTCTTCTGCTTTACTATCCTAGTGCCGCTTCTTTGGATCAAGACAGATCCACATGAGGACAAGCCTGGAGGACTCAGCATTCGGGGTCAGTGCGGGGCCCGTCCCGCAGCCCCATCGCTCGCCTGCCACTGTGCCGACCTCAGGAGCACACAGCAGACTGAAACCTGAACCAAACTCCAACCTCAGACCCCATAAAACAAATAGCAGCACCCAAGCCCCAGTGTTGTCCCATGCCTCTTCATGGAGGAGGGAATTTGGGGGGAAACCGGCACTACAGAAGGTCCCATCCGTGSTATCTTCCATCCCTTCCTCTCCCTGTGTCTCCTCTGCTTCCCATCCCATGTCACTGTGTCTCCACTCAGCCTTCAGGGCTCTGCTGCTCCCTGCATTAGCTCCGCTGAGAACTGGAGCTCCCGTGACATGAAATGGATTGTGCAAAATCACGTAGGCTGCTCAGGCTCCAGCGCTGCCGTTTCCATGTGCCCATCTCCGGAGCAAGAGTGAGCAAGGCCAGCACTGTCCTCCTCCTCCACGCATTTGAGGAGGAGGGATTCGTGCGCGTGGGCTGGGAAAGGGTGAGGAATTGAAGGAATTGAAGAACCCCCTTCTGCAAAGCTGTGCAAGGCGCCCAGCCTGTGAGTGCAAAGAAGAGAGGATCTCGAGCGCCCGCTTCCCCYGGGAACATCTCCCGCAGGGAATTCCTGGTAGCTGAAGGCCGAGATTAGAGCACGGGGCCTCTTGTTCCCAGCGTTGCCTCCACGGGCCTCCCCCAGGCTTGAGGCATCCCGGGACCCGGGCCCAGYCTCAGCCAGGCAGCAAGGTTTGAATCTTCTGGAGATGCTGCAGAGAGACTGTCTTGAAAAGGAGCCCTGAACCCAGAGCCTTCTTGCTTTGGTTCAGTCGTCTCTGGGCTGATTCACAGAAATTCAGTAAACTTGTCAAAAAGCTATGAGATCCTAAAGAGAAAGCCGTTACAGAAATGTCCATGATACATTTGTCACCTGAGGGAAAAAATAAAGTTCTGCCAAGTGTCCAACAACACTGAGAGAAACCACCAGCCCATGGAGTCGAGAGAAACCCTTGTCACCTCCCGCAGTTTGGGATCAGGCCCTGGAAGAGGCACTGGATCATTCCCAGGACGCCAGTCCAACACACATTCCATGTCTTCAGTCTTATAAGCAATATTCCTTTAAAAACACTTTAAAATATACTTTATARAGTAACACTAATTAAAAAGACTCTGACTAAATGTAGTGACTCTGCAAGCTCAAATCAAGAGTAATTACCCAAATAAGGAAGGGAGATTTCTTTTTTCAATAAARTAAAATCATATTTTGCACTTTTCCAAGTACATTCATTTCCCCATGGTAAGGACACATATTCAGGCATATGCAGATGTAATTGGTGTTACACTTCAACTCAGAGCATAGTTTTTATTTCAAGATGATTATATGTTGCAGTAAATAAAACACTCTAAAAAAATCTTCCGTGTTGCTGCTATTTTTTAAACACTGAAATRCTTGAAGCATTTGCACGATTTCTGTTCTTTTCTCTTTCTCTGTAAATCTTATATTTGACTTCGTGTTTCCAGGGTGTAGTGGGGGATGCAGAAGATAAAACTGGAATTTTTAGAGGTTTTTTTTTCCCAATTAAAAGTCAGATTCCTCGGATAATTAGAATCAAATGCTCCAAAATAAATGCAGGAAAGCGGGGCTCACTTGGGCAGGGGAAACTTTCTGAATGGAGCCGGGAGCGGGAAGTTTCCCTTCAGAAGGGAGATCKCTGGCGGCGCCGCACCCTGGACCTGCAGGAAGTTTTGCCGGAGAATTAATTTTTGAAGAAAAAAAAAATTAAAAAACGAATCCGAATCATCCCGACGGCGGGGCCCGGCCAGAGGCGCCGCTCCCTGGCGGCTCCGCAGCTCCCCGCTCTCCCACGGCCCTCCCGTGGGCTCGGGCCCGGCCCACGCGGGGCTCCGCTCCGCGGCCGCGGACACGYGGCGTCGGGTCGCTCCCGCTCCCGSGRACAGAAAGGAGCCAGGGCGAGGGGCGCCCGGCGGCTGCGGGGAGCGGGGCGGCTCGCTGGGCTGCTTCCCAGCCGCCCCTCTCCGGTGTTTGCAATGTGGAGAAAACTGGGGAATAAAAAGACAGGAGGCGCCGGCATGTCGCGCCCGGCGGAGCGGCGGGGCCGGGGCAGCGCGCGGAGGCTCCGCGGCAGCTCCGGGAGCCCCGGGCACGTCCGGCCGCTGCAGCTCCGTGACTCGGTCCCGCTCCCTCCGCGGAGCGCAGCGGGGAAGCGGTTTAGGAAGAACCGCGGCGGAGCCCGAGCATCCCCGCCGGCCGCGGGAGCCGGGCGCCCCGCTCCGCCGCGGCGCGGCACCGAGCAGCGGGGCTCAGCCGCACCCCGCYCCGGTGCCGCGCGGAGGGGAGGCCCCTGGGCACGGCCGAGGAGGCGGCAAAGCCCGGGCCGGTACCGGTACCGGCGGAGCGGCCGGTTCCGTGGCGGGACCCGCCGCGTCCCGGCGGCAGCGCCAGCTCCGGCCCGGCTCCCGCGGCGCGAGGGGGCGTGGCACCACGCAGACCCCGCCCCGTATGCAAACACCTCCCGCCCACTCCACCAATGGGCAGCGGCGGAGGGGGCGTGGCCGCCCGGCCTCCCCTTAAAGCCACTTGTTGCGCGGGGCCGCGTTTCGCACGGGACGCGGAGCGCGGCGCGGCCGGGCCGGGCGCGGAGCGGAGCCCGGGCGGCCACTGCGAGGAGGGACCTTTCCCGGCTGCTTTCCGCACCTCTGTGGGAGATTTCTTCTTTTTTTTTTTTTTT